TCCGTACCCCATAATCCCTTCGTGGCTGTTCCCGTCTTATCCTGCTAAAATATAAGGGTCTTTCTTTTTTGGGGGTATTCCAGACCCCCCGGTACTACTTTTCCTGCAAAACGTTTACTACACTTGAACATCACCATGATCATGATATGTACCTTTATCGGGGGATATGGAATATCGCCCATAAATTGATGGCGCTTCCTTTACGAAATCTATGACCTTTTCTTTTTCTTGGGGAGTATTCCCTACCCCCCAAACCCCCCCGGTACTACTTTTCCTTGCAAAACGTTTACTACACTTGAACATCACCATGATCATGATACTGTACCCTTTATCGGGGGATATGGAATATCGCCCAGTAAATTCGATGGCCCTCTCTTAGAAATCATTGACCTTTTCTTTTTCTTGGGGAGTATTCCCTACCCCCCAAACCCCACGGTACTACTTTTCCTTACAAAACGTTTACAACACTTGAACATCTCCATGATCATGATACTGTACCCTTTATCGGGGGATATGGAATATCGCCCAGTAAATTTGATGGCCTTCTCTTAGAAATCTATGACCTTTTCTTTTTCTTGGGGAGTATTCCCTACCCCCCAAACCCCCTCGGTACTACTTTTCCTTACAAAACGTTTACAACACTTGAACATCTCCATGATCATGATACTGTACCCCCCATGGGGGGATATAGAATATCGCCCAGTAAATTCGATGGCTCTCTCTTAGAAATCTATGACCTTTTCTTTTTCTTGGGGAGTATTCCCTACCCCCCAAACCCCCCGGTACTACTTTTCCTTACAAAACGTTTACAACACTTGAACATCTCCATGATCATGATACTGTACCCCCCATGGGGGGATATAGAATATCGCCCAGTAAATTCGATGGCCTTCTCTTAGAAATCTATGACCTTTTCTTTTTCTTGGGGAGTATTCCCTACCCTCCAAACCCCACGGTACTACTTTTCCTTACAAAACGTTTACAACACTTGAACATCTCCATGATCATGATACTGTACCCCCCATGGGGGGATATAGAATATCGCCCAGTAAATTCGATGGCTCTCTCTTAGAAATCTATGACCTTTTCTTTTTCTTGGGGAGTATTCCCTACCCCCCAAACCCCCTCGGTACTACTTTTCCTTACAAAACGTTTACAACACTTGAACATCTCCATGATCATGATACTGTACCCCCCATGGGGGGATATAGAATATCGCCCAGTAAATTCGATGGCCTTCTCTTAGAAATCTATGACCTTTTCTTTTTCTTGGGGAGTATTCCCTACCCTCCAAACCCCACGGTACTACTTTTCCTTACAAAACGTTTACAACACTTGAACATCTCCATGATCATGATACTGTACCCCCCATGGGGGGATATAGAATATCGCCCAGTAAATTCGAGGGCCCTCTCTTAGAAATCTATGACCTTTTCTTTTTCTTGGGGAGTATTCCCTACCCCCAAACCCCCGGTACTACTTTTCCTTACAAAACGTTTACAACACTTGAACATCTCCATGATCATGATACTGTACCCCCCATCGGGGGATATGGAATATCGCCCAGTAAATTCGAGGGCCCTCTGTTAGAAATCTATGACCTTTTCTTTTTCTTGGGGAGTATTCCCTACCCCCCCGGTACTACTTTTCCTTACAAAACGTTTACTACACTTGAACATCTCCATGATCATGATACTGTACCCCCCATCGGGGGATATGGAATATCGCCCACTAAATTCGATGGCCCTCCCTTAGAAATCTATGACCTTTTCTTTTTCTTGGGGAGTATTCCCTACCCCCCAAACCCCCCCGGTACTACTTTTTCTTACAAAACGTTTACAACACTTGAACATCTCCATGATTCTGATACTGTACCCCCCATCGGGGGATATGGAATACCACCCAGTAAATTCGAGGGCCCTCTCTTAGATATCTATGGCCTTTTCTTTTTCTTGGGGAGTGTTCCCTGCCCCCCAAACCCCACGGTACTACTTTTCCTTAAAAAACGTTTACAGCACTTGAACGTCAACATGATCTTGAGACTATTTAGATCTCTAACGTGTTTTTTGGAGAACGAAGCAAGGGGTGGTCTGAGGGGTCTTCTTCTTGGGGGGGGGATCCCCCAGAGCTCCCCGTACTACTTTCCCCTTCAAAACGTTTGCACTTGACAGCCCTTACACATCTCCATGATCTCTAAACGTGTTATTTTGAGAACGTACCTCTGAGGGGTGTGGAATACCCCAGGAAATTCGATGGTCCTCTCTTAGAAATCTAAGACCTTTCCTGAAGAGTATTCCTTTCCACCCAGGTCCTCCGTTAAAAAATAAGAGGTTTTTTCTCTGGGGGGGGGGGGGGATTATATTAGTGAAGCTTTTAAATATTTATGGCATCGTTTGGCTCAACACGAGGAAATACTTCGGCTTCCGCGGCTGCGTCGCCTCGCCTCGCTGTCTTAGAAATTTCTGTGGCCTTGCTCGCAAAAGATAAAAAGTTAACGGATTATTTTAGTGAAGTTTTTAAATATTTATGCCACCATTTGACTCAACAAGAGGATATAGTTTCGGTTTCGTCGGCTGCGCCACCTCACCTCGTTATTTTGTTGAATGTTTTTTGGGATTTTTTACAATCGTAGAAATGCACGGAATTGTTTCCGCGAATATTTATGGCATCAGGATATTCGATGGCCCTCTTTTCATACTCCCCACACCTCCCGGGACTACTTTCCCCGCCAATATGTGTACAGAACTTGAATGTCTCCATGATCAGGAGAATATTTGGCTCTCTAAACGTCTTATTTGGGGAACGTAGCACCGGGCGGTGTGGGGGGTACGGAATATCCCCCCTCCTCAGGACTTTTCCCTCTCTCTCTCTTGTTCCGGGCCCTCAACAGGCTTGCGCCCAATTACAGAGTGACCCGCATAATGCTGTTCAGAGGTTCCTCTGGTGAAGAGTATTTCGTACTCACCAGGTTTCTTGCTGTTGTTTTTCTTCTCATTCTCTCTTACAAAATTAGAAGTCTTTTTATGGGGGTGGGGGGGATTCCAAACCTCCCCTCCTGCCACTTTTCCCCTTAAAACCTTTAGATCCCTCGACATACCCCCTCGACATACCCCCCCCCGGGAATTTAATGGGCCTCTCTCTTGAAAAGTATTCCGTATTCAGATCCCTTGGTGCCGTGTGTCTTAAAAAAGAAGTAGTTTTTTTCCTGGGGAGTGTTTCATACCGCAGACCCCCCGGTACTATTTTCCCCTCCAAAGCGTTTACTGCCCTTGAACATCTCCATGATCATTTTAGATCTTATTTGGAGAACGTAGCACTGGGGGATCTGGGGGGATATGGATTACCCCCAAAGAAATACCATGGTTCTCTTTTCAGGTAAGTGTCCACGATGGTAGGATCTCATGAAACAATTATCTCGTGGTGTGTTTCCACTACGAGGCAAATTTGGACAAATCTCATGCAATTGCCTGTCTCGTGAGACTTTAATCTCGTCAGTCTAGGCAGAGTTATTTTTACTGTTTCTACTGTGCATTGAAAAATTATTGTACACGCAGCATTTTTACAATTCAGCAAGTATCTACGGTGAATAGAGTAAATAGAGAATTAGTAACACAAAACTATACAATGGACATACACTGTATGTCCTTGGGTGGATAATTTGAACACGCACTGTACGTCCAAATTACGTACCTAGTCTGCTAGTCATCCAATGGACATCTAGTGGATTATACATTTGGCACAAAAATGGAGTATTACTGGACACCCATAAGTCACATCCAGTGACTGTACAAGGTACCATCCTTAATGCATCATTTAGGGTTGCGAATTATAGATATGAACGTCCATTGTACGTTCACCGGACAATAGAGCGGAGGACAGACAAAGGTGGTAGTTTTAAAGCTAGTGCCGAGCGAGCCGAAGGCGAGTTCGGCACAAACCTAGGCAGAGTAGAGGTCCGATGGGGTAAGTAAATTAGTACCAAACCCGCCTTTGGCTCGCAATAGATCTCTACTCTGCCTGTTCGGCTCGCTCGGCACTAGCTTTAAAACCATTACTTTTTTGCCTGGCTTCGAATTCGAAATAAATAAATCAAAAATTGTTCGACTACTGCGACTGATAAATTATGGCGAAGTAGCAGGATCATGGCCGAAACCAAACGGCATATTGCAAATTCGATGTGTCAAATTAGAACTCGTTTCAGTCATTCTAGTCGAACTAGTCTCGATTATTTTAAATTCGGCTTTTGTTTTAATGATTGCCGAGCGAGCCGAAGGCGAGTTTGGCACCAACCTAGGCAGGGTAGAGGTCTGATGGGGTATCTGTTATTCAACCTTCGAAAAAAGATAGGACCAGCGGCGAGCGAGCCGAAGGCGAGTTTGGTGTAAATTTACTTACGCCATCGGACTTCTCTCTGCCTAGGTTTGTGCCGAGCGAGCCGAAGGCGAGTGCATTTCCGATTATGCTGTTACGATGAGTTCGGCATAATCTCTTATTGTGATTTGAATGTGTAGCCTCTGCCATTGTCCATTGTATTCGGCTTTATACAATAACGACCCCTAAAGCGCCTTGCCCTTTTGTTTAAAACCGAATTTATCTAATAACTGTTATTTGAGCTGAATTGTGGCGTTCTTCAGCGTAGGGGTGTGTAAGTAATTCAATACATGCAATGCGCAGGGGACGTACTTTCCCTACCGCTCACGTAATGTGTATACCTGAGAAGTTCTGGTCTCGTGTCTACGGAAGCCATTTATTAACGTTAACGCTAAGTCGCTAATTAATTAGCCAACCGTCAACTCGACGCTTTAGTTGGGCCTAGTCCGTCGAAAAATGCCCAAAACCACTGGCATAGATTCCGTGATCAATACATTCGGTGCTGTTGTACCGATGGGGGTCAACACCCCTTCCAGACGCGCGCCTGCCCTTCATTCGGGTGTCTGACTTGTTACCATAGCAACAACCCCAGGCCCTTTCCCTTACGCACCACCCTCTTGCGGCACGTTACTAAACCGTTGCGTCTTTTACAGAATGTGGATCACAAAATGAAATTCCGCTCCAAAAAGGGGCAGCTGCCCTTCATCGAACTGAACGGCGAGGAGATCGCCGACAGCCAGATCATCATCAAGGAGCTGACGCAGAAGTTCAACAACGATCTGGACGCCGCGCTCTCCGCCGAACAGCGCAACATCGCGCACGCGACGATTTCGATGGTCGAAAATCACCTCGTGTGGGTCGTCATGTGGTGGCGCACCAAATTTCCCGATCAGGTCCTCAAGGGGTACAAAGTAAACTTGCAGCACGCCCTTGGGACGAGAATACCGAACGGCATCCTTAACTTTCTCTTTAAATTCGCGTTCGGACGCAAGGTAAGGATCGACGACGGATTCTGTGCTTGAAATACGTAGAGGGTGCTCCGTTATATCGCCACTTATTTCTTATAAGCATGGCATGAGTAGTCCTCCCGATCAATACCACATAAACACCTGTAGCTGAAGAAGCCCCAATTATGAGCCAATCACCTACTTTCTTTTGCGTTCTCAATATTTGCTTAATTAATTAAGCGTTTATGTAGCGCAATTGTCACGCGTTTTAAATAATTATGGGCTCTGTTTGTAGATTTCGTCAAACTTGCATTGATCTCTAGTCATTTAGGCGCTACAACTGTAATTTTCGGGCAATTAGTATCTTAAGCGCAACTGTTTTGCGTTCTCTTATGCGTTCAAGATTTAGATAATTTGCGTTCGCTCCACGATTTTGCAAAGAGACGCAGCACTCATCTGCATGTTGGTCGGGTTACAATTCAAATGCAACTACTTGCATCCTGTAGTATGAGCGGTGATGTGGTAGAGTGCATGTTTTTTCCAGTGTTGTGTTGTTACGAGATGATTTAATTATATATTGACGCGTTAGTGGTTACAGGGCTCAAAGAAGGTGAAGGCGCAAGGGATGGGCGTCCACTCCGCCGACGAAATCAACGAATTCGGACAGGGCGATCTCAAGGTGCTCTCCGACATGCTCGCCGACAAACCCTTCTTCTTCGGCGACGAGCCCACGACGGTAGGCTTTTCGTTGATACTCGCAAGCTCTCGTTAAACGTTGTCGGTTTGCAGTTGGACGTCGTCGCCTTCTCGAATCTCGCTCAGATCTACTTCATCGACAAGGAGGTCAGCTACCCGCTTCGCGACTACATGACGGAGCACTGTCCCAATTTGGTCGGGCTGGTGAATCGCATGAAGGAGCGCTGCTTCCCCGACTGGGACGATATCTGCGCGACTCTCGACCTCAACTCGCACCTTCCCAAGCCGGTCGAGGACGAGGGTAAGGATAAGGAGGGCTGCAAGGAGGAGAAGGAGGGCGATAAGGAAATGGAGCCCGAGGATAAGGATATTGAAAAGGAAAAGGTTAGCAGACCCCCTCCTTTTTTCATTCTCTCTATAAAAAGACGTTGACTACAGTAACGTACAGTAAAAAAAAACTTTCAGTGGAGCGTGTGCAGGTTTACTACATATTACTGTGTGCGATTCAGATCCCTGAAAGCGAGAAAGGCTTATAAAGCCTATTTTCGCATATTACCCCGCCCGCAGACGGTCGACAATTAAAATAAAAAATCATTCTCCATCATTTTTAACCCTTTTTTGTGCTTGTGTAGAATAAATGCTTGTTTTCCTTCCCGCTATTTCTAGATATTACTGTGTGCTATGGCATGCGGGCACTGCGCCACTCACAAGTTGACTCGGTGTCGATTCAGATTCATTAGACAAATTTTGATTAACACCTGAAATAAATTGGCAATTATGGATTCTACAGGCCACATTCTATAAGAAAATTCTTTTTCCGGGTCGATCTGAGACAATTTTTTTTCGGGGCTCAAAAAAAGGCAGTGTATAATCTTCCTTTTTTACCAAAAATCGACTACACCAAAATTTCTCGAGAAATCATTTTTTCTTATTAATTTGGGTGCGTAGAATCCAAAACAACTCGTACTTTTTCGATCAGACTTCTCAATCAAAAGTTATAAACTAGAAACCAATTTCGAAAAAAAATTCAAAGGGTTGTAACTTTTGAACCAGTAGCCCAATCTTGGAACTGTTTGAAATTATGGATTCTACAGGCCACATTCTATAAGAAAAATTTTTTTCCGGGTCGATCTGAGTCAATTTTTTCTTCGGGGCTCAAAAAAAGGCAGTGATTAACCTTCCTTTTTTACCAAAAATCGACTACACCAAAATTTCTCGGGAAAACACTTTTTCTTATTAATTTGGGTACGTAGAATCCAAATCAATTCGTACTTTTTCGATCAGACTTCTCAATCAAAAGTTATAGACTAGAAACCAATTTCGAAAAAAAATTCGAAGGGCTGTAACTTTTGAACCAGTAGCCCAATCTTGGAACTGTTTGAAATTATGGATTTTACAGGCCACATTCTATTAGAAAAATTTTTTCCGGGTCGATCTGAGACAATTTTTTTCTTCGGGGCTCAAAAAAAGGCACCTTCCTTTTTTACCAAAAATCTACTGCACCAACATTTCTCGTTAAAACACTTTTTCTTATTAATTTGGGTACGTAGAATCCAAATCAATTCGTACTTTTTCGATCAGACTTCTCAATTAAAAGTTATAGACTAGAAACCAATTTCGAAAAAAAATTCAAAGGGCTGTAACTTTTGAACCAGTACACAATTGATTGACAAAGACAAAAATTTAATCGGCGCATATAAAAGAATCCCTGAAAGCGAGTAAGGCTTACAAAGCCTATTTTCACATGTTACCCCGCACGCAGACGGGCGACAATTAAAATAAAAAAATCATTCCCTATCATTTTTAACCCTTGTTTGGGCTTGTGTATAATAAATGCTTGTTTTCCTTCTCGCTACATGCTACATCTAGATATTACTGTGTGCAATGGCATGCGGGCACTGCGCCACTCACAAGATGACTCGGTGGTCATCGATTCAGATTCATTAGACAAATTTTGATTAACACCTGAAATAAATTGGCATGAAACTTCTATCTGGGTCGCACTTTGGATTCGAATAAACACAATTGATTGACAAAGACAAAAATTTAATCGGCGCACATAAAAGAATCCCTGAATGCGAGAAAGGCTTACAAAGCTTATCTTCACATATTACCCCGCACGCAGACGGTCGACAATTAAAATAAAAAATCATTCCCTATCATTTTTAACCCATTTTTTGGGCTTGTGTAGAATAAATGCTTGTTTTCCTTCCCGCTATATCTAGATATACTGAAGCTGAAAGATTTGAATTGGAATTTAAGTAATTTGAAATATCTTGCAGGCTGATGAAAAAGAAAAGGAGCAGGAGAAGGAGAAGGATATAGAGGAGAACAAAGAGAAGGAGGGTAAATGAAGAGGTTGTAAGTTTCCAAATCTTTCTATGTCCCCCATGTCCTAAAATCGAACAGTTATGATTTTCAAGAAAGTTCGTGCAAGTTGTAGTTTTAAGAGTCATTTTATATTTAACCGTTTTTTATAAATCGACTTACGTAGCTTCCGTTTCACTTCTCATTTTGTAATTTAATGTATTGGACAAAAATATTTCGTTATCGTAAGGGATATTTGTATAAATAAATAGCTAGATTTTTTATTGTAAGCAGTTGTATGTTTGCGAAGTGACAGACGGCGCGCCGTCATGAAATGGGGCCGCCCTCTGCGACTTGTACATGTTAGTGCAGTCTTTAATGTACGAAATTATTACCCCAAGTAGCGTTTGCATTTTCTATATTCATTGTACTCATTCCACATTGCATCACGACAACAACAAAACTAACATTAGCTTAAAGAAGACAAGACAAATTGTAACAACATTTGTATTTTGTAGATTTTTTGTATTTTTTTAAGACCATAATTTTAAGATTAATTGCTAAGAAATTTTTCTATCCATCGCTAAATTGTAAATTCGTTGAAAGTGGTAAAAAAAAGAAGTTGCAGCAGTTTTTCTAAAGCTCAAAAAAGAGTAGATTAATTGATTAATTAGCGTGTTAAAATTTAATTTTAAGTAGATTTTATTATTGTATGTTTATTGGACAAATGTGTTGTATGCTATTACAATTTAAATAAATATACAGTAATTTTAGGAGAACTTCTCCCTAGATTTGGCTGCCCAAACTACCTACAAGAATCCCATGTTATTTTCTTCCTTCAAATCTCTTAAACGTCACCTTCAAGATCGCTTTTACATCTATTTTACCCCTTTCCTACGCATCCTGTCTCCTACAATCCTTTCTTACACGTCCTTGAGATATAATTCATCATGATAGCCTTCCATTTCTCTCATTTCAATATTTTTCTTCACTTTTTCTTTACTGCGCCCTCAAGGTTTTTTTCTCCATCATTTTCAGCGCCTCTTTCTCCACCTACCTGTCGTTCACGCTTTTCTCAAATAATCCAGCGCGTCCCCTCCCCCTCCATTACAAGACTGTATTGACGCCTCCTTTAGATCGCTTTCACTCACTCTTCCACTGGCTCCCTTCATTTTTCCTTGCGATTCCCAACGTTAGGTGTTTCCTCTTTATGTATTTTTTGCATTATCAGACCACACCTTTCTTTACACGAACCTCGCCTCTTCACGCATTCTTTATGAAGACATCACGTCCCTTCTATTCTTTTTCCCGCGATTCTTTTACGTCCCTTCCCTCTGGACGACTTTTAAGGTTATCTTTGCTTGTCTTTCACTTCCTTATATCTTTATCATGACCCCTTGGTGATACGTTCTTCCTAAAAACGTTTTTCCGCTCGCGAGCGTTTTTTTCTGTTCCTGAGCGCTTTTTCCATGCTTTTTCCGCTCGCGGGCGTTTTTTTCCGCTCATGAGGACTTTTCCCGAGCGCTCGCTAATTGGACTGGTTGACAAATTCAGGAGTTCCTTTTGATAACAATACGCATTTATTAAAAGAACAATACTTTAAATGGTTCACGACAACTTTAGAATCTCCCAGTTAAAGTTTTAACTGTAATGATACAATAGGTCAAATTTCCTTTTTACAAGTTTACAACGAATCGTACAGCTGTCGATTGAAATTTACAAAATAATACAAAATTTACAACTAACCTTTTATTTACAATTCCTTCCTCGATGTGGAAATATGTCATTCTTACAGTTAATTTTTAATTCCGCCTTGTATATACAACTTGCGACGATACATACAGTTTTGAGAGTTGGCAACTATGCAATTTCTAACGTGGGAAAAGCTGCCTGCGCCATCTAAAAAGCACGAACGGGAGTTACGTTTAATAATAATAATAATAACTTTATTCCCTATAAAGACAAATCTTTAGCATTTGGTGTTGAATGGCGGTCGTGAACGCGTCGCTCCATAAATGTTTGTTGCTCTTTTGTGTTATTTCATGCAGGTTTGTTTTTGATATTTACTTGGTTTAACCGTAATGCAGAATCATGTGTGATACCGTTATGCTATTGTTTGTAATTGTTTACGTTTTTGGTGTAATGTTTGCTTAATTTGTATTTATTAATGTTGATTACTTGGTCTTGTCCCTGAAGTAACATTCATATAAGTTTTGATAATTTTATTTTAATATGTGGAAATTACCGATTCGTTTGATGTATGTACTGACTTATTGTTTGTAACTAACCATTTTCTCCGTGAATGAAGCAGTCACGGGGGTGGTAAAAACTGTGGTCAAAATTGAAGTACGACACCTAATTCCGTGATTGTCTTCGACATCCAACTGTAGGCTCAAAACCAGGGGCGGGCTACCCATCTTGCAGGAGCGAGATTACGCTAATCAAAGCTCTTCAGTTTAGATCTATGTGCGATAAATGAGTGGCGATTCGATAATTTCCACATATCTTGTTTTGTTAAATTTGCCTACAAGGTCATGTAATTTTCCATCTTGCTTTTAACAAAAGGACTTTATTGCACCAAAGATGAGTCACATCCTGTGTATTTCACCCTTTCTTAGAATCTTGGTTCCTGCTTACCTGACCCATAATTCCCAAAATTTGTTTTTAACCCCTATAATGTTACCTCTTGAAGTTTACCTGCTACTTTTTGTGATGTTATAATTTGATGTTACGCATTCACATCATTACAAGCAATTAATTTTACTACACAATTTAATATTAATTTGACGGTTGGTTTTTTTATTTGTAAGTTCTTTTTTTCCAGCCTATTTCTATTTTTATTCGGTGAACTACGATTTTCAAAGTTTAGTTTTGCAATGTAATTTATTTCGACTTAAATTTCCGATCATTCACAATTTTAATAATTGCGATCATTATTAAACAAAGTTTTCACAATTTGAGTGCTTTATTTTACGTTTCTTCCCTACTGTGCTTCAGGTCAAAGCGTTGTCTACAACTAACGTACGTAAGAGCAGGGCCGCCCAGAGGGGGGGACAACTGGGGCGATTTGCCCCAGGCCCCCGATTTCAAAGGGCCCCCGTGTTGGCCGTGGATCTGTGAGGATGAATGAAACAGCAATAGAGTTGCCGTTGCCACATTTTCATTTGTACGGCTGATGATTTTTTGCGAAGAATAGAAAATGACAACATGTGGCTGTTCTCGGTAAAATAATGCGGTAAATCACTTGTCGGCATAATAAACAAGTAGTAATAGTAGTGTTTATAACCAATTGTAGATTGTAGAACATAACATATGCCAGTAAATTTCTAAAATAACATTTTCTTTGAAATTTTTTCTATTCCAAAACAGGGCCCCAAAATTTACTTTGTCCCAGGCCCCTGAAATTGTCTGGGCGGTCCTGCGTAAGAGGGTCCTGCCTTAGATGTTTGATCACGTGCCAGGTTTCAAATTTAAGCGGGATCTTGTTTAGGAGAGAATAGTCATTCGGGTGGCCATTTTTAAACGTTGCCGGGTTGACTATTTCCGTGTTTTTGTAGTGTGAAGTTAGTGTAAAACCTGGGGATTAAGTACACTACAATACTATTACTATTGTTTGGATTGGAAATTTCGGATGATTGATTGAGAAATATGGGCTGGCTCCTCTGTTGGTCACCACCCTTTTTTATTGGCGAAAAATGAGCATTGCCATAAGCTCAATTTGAACGGGTTATTATTGAAATTTAGTTTATCGTCTAGGTAATTCCTTAGGTAAAATTTTACTTTTAAGTTCGGTAATCCCGAAATACAACGACAGTGGCTTCCTACAACCATGCCAACTAATGCCATTACGAGAACAGTCACGAGTAGTAGTTTGATCATTTTCAATTCTGTATATGTTTCACAACGGAAAGGTCGCGCTTTTATAGCACATTCAAGAGGCGCGGAATCTTATCGAATTTCGTTCATCACAGATTATCTTATACCTTTGAAGTGTTTGTTACTGAAATACGTTCTAATTTGGGTTTTATTCGTAGAAGCGTTTCATTAAAAGCCATCTAATGACATTAAAGTTAATGGAAACAGTCGCTTAATTTTCTTCTTGACAAGAGGTCCATGTGCAAATTTCATCTGATTTAATTTCTGCGTTCACAAACTGATTAGCATGCACGTAAGCGCTTGTGCGTCCTGGGTTACACTCAAATGCTTAAACCCGAAATAATTACTACTGATTTCATAGTTCCACACCCGTCTGTAGCAACGCAATTTTGACGCACCTTCCAATTTGGGGCTTTGGGCACTTTTTAAAAGATAGTAAATAAAGCGGCGCATACAGAAAATTAATATGACTTTTGGCAGTGTACTTTAGACATTAAGGATGTAAAAAACTGAAAAACTTCTTTTTTTATATTCGATTTGACCTAGGAAGCTATTCAGTCAAGAATTTGGTAACTGGCTTTTCTTGGGAAGCTCTTTTTTTCTCCTCGGTCTATTTTTATTTTTATTCGATGAACTATGCAAAAATATGCGTAGTGGTCTATACAATGGAATTTTTACCAAATGATAAGGTACTACATAGATAACTATTTTTGTTTCAAGTGTTTTGTTATTATGATCGTGATATCAGATTATTTTAAGTTACACAACCATGAAATAAATAGTACGTGTCCTATATTGACGATGTTGGCTTGTTATCTTTAAATCTTAATTTCAAACTTCTGCCGTTGCAGAAAACGGGAGTGTAGGTAAAGAGGCAGGGTAACGAAACAGGCCCGTGACCAAGATGAAGTAGCAGGATTGGCAAGTATTCTTCTAGGTGGGGCCTTGAAAACGAGGAGTCAGGAGCTGATGCCCCAAAATCCTCAACACTTTCGGACTTTCTTCAGTTTTTCGCCAATATATCTCCTACATAACGCATCCTAGCGAAAACTTTACAACAAGACCACCTAATGAAAATATCACAAAAATGTAGTTCATCGAGTATTTTTGTTTCCTTTGCCTTTTATAAGTTATAACGGAATTGGGAGAGGGAGGTTAGTAAGGGCAGTTTCTATCGAAGGACCTCTAGGATGCGCGGGAGTTTACTTGGAGTTCCGGAAACCCGAGAAATGCGCACAGAATGGTTTGGGCGACCCTTGAAATCCTAATAGTTTTGAAGCATTCCTCGTAACACCTTTAAAAATCCTTAAAGATTAAGACTTCAAGGCTCGTTTAGAATGCGCTAATTAATAAAGACTAAAACACTCTAGAAGGCTGTTAAATGCTGTTGAAATTATTTTTGTGACTCTTGAAACTTTTTCAGGGATAATGATACGTTTTAAACGCACTAAAAACTCTTCGCGACTCGAATATTAAGTCGGTTAAAGCTTTTGAAGATTTTTATAATGAGTCTCAATCTCAATTGATCTTGAAGGCTTTTGAACACTCATCAAGCTGAACATTTTTGCTACTTTATTTGAGAGCACCCTGTGTATTAGCTTTAATTATGCAAAGTAGTTCTTTTATTTGCGATTAGTTCTTCTATTCAAGGATAGTAGTTCAGCTGTATTAAAAGTAGTTGTACGTGGGTGGACAATTTTAGAGTTTTTTTAAATTAAAATGTGCAAATAATTTAACGTAAAAACAGCAGTACACGCTTAAATAAGCGTAATACCTCCCAAAAAAACTTCGGGCTTCATGAATTACCGGGGACCTACATCAAAAGTGAGGTTACGCCATGATTTTGAAACTGCAGCGATTAGTGGCGAAGACTTATAAGGGCCCGTTAATTATTCGCTCGCGTTTGTTGAGCGGAAACCGCCTATTGGTAGGAATCGCAGGATTACATAGTTTGGTTACGCGCACTTTTTTAGAACGACGATCTTACGCCCGAGGTCAAGCACGAGATCGAGAAGCGCTGGAAGTCGCGATTAAAGTTTAGAGAGTACGACGAGAAGTCCGCGCTGGAAAAGTACTACGTGCTCTCGATGTTTCCGTATCCCTCCGGAAATATGCACATGGGCCACGTACGCGTGTATACGATTAGCGACACGATCGCCCGATTTCAACGTATGAACGGTAAAAATGTGAGTTAGTCCCCGAGTGGCCGCACTTGTACTTCCGACAAGGGAGTCATGTCTTTAATAAACAGTCGTCTTCTTTTATTATTTGTTTCAGAAGTGTTTTGTTTCGATTTATCTTTGCGTCTCTTTCTTGAGGATATGGTGTGGTATTGTTGATCCCGAGGTCGATCCATAACGTCATGATTTCTGAAAGAGTTGAGGAAAGAGTTCTTAGGGCAGAAAGTTTTGGGGAAGAACATATCATCGGGTATACCCCCAGTATACTAAGGACTTATGACAGTTGTAGGGAAATTTATCTCCTTTCCTGGGTGTTATTCCATACCTCCCAGATCCCCCCTTTGGTATTGTCGATCCATACCACCATGATTTTTGAAAAGAGTTGAAGAAAGAGTCCTTAGGGCAGAACGTTTTGAGGCAGAACATATCATCGGGTATACCCCCAGTATAATAAGGACTTATGACAGTTGTAGGGAAATTTATCTTCTTTCCTGGGTGTTATTCCATACCCCCCAGACCCCCCCTTTGGTATTGTCGATCCATACCATCATAATTTTTGAAAAGGGAAAAAAGAAGATTGAATGTTCATTTCTTTCTTTCTTGAGAGAGGTGTGTGTGTGGGGGGGGTTCTTGGAAAATATTCTATATAAAACACTGTGTCTCGGAAACTTTGCAACCCCTTTTGGAAGATTTTCTAGGAAAAACTGATAACATGGTCCATTTAGGTAATACATCCTATTGGGTGGGATGCGTTCGGTCTTCCGGCGGAGAACGCGGCGATCGAAAGGAAGGTGGCACCCGACGAATGGACCGAGCAAAACATCGCCCACATGAAGGAGCAGCTGCGTCAGCTCGGCTGTACCTTCGAGTGGAACCGCGAGTTGGCGACCTGCGATAAAAATTACTACAAGTGGACGCAGGACCTATTCCTCAAGTTGTACGACAACGGGCTCGTGTACCAAAAGGAGGCGCACGTTAATTGGGACCCGGTCGATCAGACGGTGCTCGCGGACGAACAGGTCGACGAAAACCAGCGATCGTGGCGTTCGGGCGCTAAAATTGAACGAAAGCTACTGAAACAGTGGTTTGTGCGTACAACGCGCTTCGCTCGTGACCTCTACGAGGGACTCGACGACCCCGCACTTAGAGACTGGCACGACATTATTAAAATACAAAAACACTGGATCGGGGAATGTAATGGGGTCGCGTTCGATTTTCCGATCGTTAATCACGACCCTCTTCGCCTGTGGACACCCCACCCCGAGCGAGTGACCTGCGCGAAATTCGTCGCAGTTTCACAAGGACACTCGCTCGCGCGGCACGAAGGGGCGCCACTTACCCCCGGCACGAAAAGACTCGAACTCACCGCGACTAATCCATTTAACGGCGACTCACTACCGATCTTTGTAACCGATCTGGTCGACTACCACGAAGGTTGTGACACTCGCATCGGCTTACCGATAAGCTCCGAGCGCGATCGGGAATTTTGCGACCGTTTCAAAATCGCATACGACTCGCGAGATTCGCCGATCGACGTTGCGGTCGTGTGCGACAGGGCGCGCGAGTTGGGCGCCGGCGGGTACTGGACCAGCGCGAAGCTACGCGATTGGCTCATATCCAGGCAACGGTACTGGGGAACGCCGATTCCCATCGTCCACTGCGAAACGTGCGGGCCGGTTCCCGTATCCCAACTGCCGGTCGAGCTTCCCAAGCTGACCGGCAGGTGTTTGGCCGACGAGTCCGATTGGGTCAACACGCCGTGCCCCAAGTGCGGATCGAAGGCGCGACGAGAAACCGACACGATGGACACTTTCGTCGACAGCTCCTGGTACTACTTGCGCTACCTAAACGTGAAAAAGGACGGCATGTTCGATGTCGAGAGAGCGAGGACCATGATGCCTGTCGACTTGTACGTTGGTGGAAAAGAGCACGGTTTGTTTAAAGATTGTTTTGCGTCGGCTAATCGACACGTTCTTCAGCGACACTCCATTTGTACTACGCGCGGTTTGTTAGTCATTTTTTGTACTCGTTGGGCCTGCTTCCTGAGAAAGAGCCTTTCAAGCGATTATTGGTACAAGGAATGGTCATGGGGAGGAGCTTTCGGATTAAAGGAAGTGGGCAATATGTACATGGTGATCGAGTACAAATTGTAGGTATGTAAATGTTAACGGATGTTATATTTCTTTATTCACCCTGGTCATGAACACCCTGTATAGAGAGAGCGAGAGAGAGAGAGAGAGAGAGAGAGAGAGAGAGAGAGACTAGGCTATTTAAAAAAATAACAAATTGTGCATTTCAAATTTTACAAAGAAGAAAAAGCAAAGCGTTCAAGCAAAACAAAAAGAGGTTCCGCACCTACCTACATATAACGTTTTAAAAATTTAGATCAAATTACTGGGGCAGACCCCCGGTCCTACATTCTTCCCCTATAAAGTAAGGTCTTAGTGCTAAGGGTCACTTACACCTTTCTTTTTCGATAGAGTTTAGGGCTGAACGTTATAAGGGTGAACTCATCGAATTATGTCGGGGTAGCGGACCATCGGAAAAGTTTCGCCCCTCGAACTCGAGGCATCTGTAATAATTTGGTGAACTTTTTCGGCGCCGAAAAAAAATTATTAACGGAAATGCTGTGGTTTTGAGTTCAGGAAGACATTAAAAAATACTTTTCAGAGCTTGTAAAAATTTTCGAGCTTAATTTTATAGCTCGATCAAGTGGATTAATTAAAATCTTTTTGTTTCTTAAATAAAATGCACGTTTTGAAAAGGACCGAAGAATTCGAAAAATTAAAAAAATCGAAAAATGTGAATATTAAAAATACCAAAAATTAAAAATATTTGGAATATTTGAAAAATACAGAAACAATTAAAAAACCCTAGCAAATGTTCAGAAAAGTATTTTTCCTCAGCAAAGAAGTATAAAATTAGGGTTACGCAAAAATTGCAAATCAAAAAGTTTAATAAATTCAAAAAATTAGAAAAACGGTTTAGTCCATTCCAGATGCAAAACGGCACAAGGCGATTCACAAAGACACAAATGAAGCGGTGGTCGTAACATGGGAGAAAATGAGCAAATCGAAGTACAACGGCGTCGACCCCTCAAACATGTTCGAAGAGTACGGGGTCGACACCACTCGCCTTCTAACATTGGCCGACGTCGCGCCTACGTCACACCGCAACTGGAACAGTAGCAGTAAGTTGTACGCATGCGCGCCGTTCGTTTACTAAACCGTCGCCGTAAGCGCAGCGTTCCCGGGAGTTTTAAACTGGCAAAAACGCCTCTGGCTGACCGTACAGGAGTTCCTTAGTTACCGCCAGTCGCCACCGCCCACGATCGGCGACGAGGAGTTCAAGCGACACGACGATTACCTTTTCGACTCCCGAAATTACTACGTCAAGGGTGCCAACTTTAATTTCAACGCCGCCTACCAATTCAACGTGGTCATATCGAAAATGCAGGGACTGACGAACAGTTTGAGGGTAAGCCGCGAGGTGGCGCACGATCGATTAACCCCTAGCTTTCAGAAGGTACCGCCGGCGCTCTTCGCGCGCAGTTTGCAGTTTGAGCGCGCGCTGGGCGACCAGCTGATTATCATCGCTCCGATGGCGCCGCACTTCGCGTCCGAGCTGTGGGAGGCGTACGCCTCCGCCGAGAACCGTCTAAGCAGGGAGGTGCGGTGGGACAAGGGCGTCTTCGAACAGAGTTGGCCAGTCGTCGATTACGACTACGGTTTAGATCTCATCTGTCAGGTATGCGGTGGGTCTTCGAGATGGACTGTTATCCCATTCGATTTTAGGTGAATGGCGCCGAGTGTTGCGTGGTGAAAATTCCCAGGCGGAGATTAGAGGCGTTGAGCAAAGAGGAGGTTTTGGAAATCGCGTTGCAACAGAAGGAGGTGGAGGAGGCGTTGCGTAGGAGGCAGTATGCGAAGTTTGCCTACAGGTTGCAGCCTAGCTATGAAGGGTTAATTAATATTGTCGTTCCGAAAGGGGCGGAGCCAGTTCCTGTTGTAAATAAATGTTAATGACGTTTTTATTGTCAGCTCACAGGATTTTTCACATTTTCTGTGGGAAAAATTTTGGAAAAACTGTTTTTGGTTTTATTTGGATCAGACAGACAGATAGACGAACCAGTGATAAATAATTCTATTGAATTTTTTTTTCGTTTTTCTTCCTTCGGCAGGTTAGCAAACCAATGAACCATCGAACGATGTAAAACACAAGAAGACCAACAATCACCATCACACTCGCTATCACAGCAAGTACATCCAGAAGCAGATATTGATACCAAGGTACGTCCAACAGAGGGCTGCGTAGGTGTGATGCTCCCTTGTGGCGTATCACGTACTCGGTCCACCAGACGGCTCGTTCCAGTCCAGTCATCGGTTGGTCTTGGGCCAAAGCCGCCAGCTCTTTCGCTTTGTTTCGAAACCTACAACGGAATCTTTCAGCCTAAGAACCGGCATCGATCCCAGGTACCTCGTATTTTGGGCCACCTCCAAAATTTTTGCCTTAAATTCATCCTTCGTCACCGTCGCGTAATCGACGATCAACCCGGTGCCTCCAATCTCCATTCGCTTCACGTTCCCCGTTTGGTCTCCGTAAAATGGCACACCAAGAATCGGAACGCCGGAATACATCGCCTCCTCCAGCGACTGCAGCCCGCCCTGGGTTATGAACAGTTTGATGTTCGGATGTCCTGCAAAGGCGATGTGATTGCGTTCGAAGAAAATGTCGCTTACGTAAGACGTCCTGCTGAGGCAACCAGGGCGAGGTGATTACGTTGTCGGATAATCCGTCGAGGTGGGCCCCTTCGAATTTCCATAGGATGGTGTAGGGTAATTCGGCGAAGGTCGACAGTATCGTGCCGAGCAGTTCGGGCGGAAGATCTTTGCTTTTAACGTTCGAGCCCAGGCTGAAGTATACGAATCCGTGCTCCGCGTTGTCCAGTTTGTTCTTCAACTCCTGCGAAAATTGAGCTTATTCTTGCAAATAATATTATAAGCACTCAATAAATTTCTTGATCAAGAAAGTCAAAGATCTGCTACTTTTGAGAACTTTAAAATTTCGTGACATGGACTCGTGCTTATTTTCTTTATATGGACGCACTCATTAAATTTCCTGTTTAAGAAAGTCACTCAATAAATTTCTTGATCAAGAAAGTCAAAGATCTGCTACTTTTGAGAACTCTAAAATTCCGTGACATGGACTCGTGCGTATTTTCTTTAAATGGGCGCACTCGTTAAATTTCCTGTTTAAGAAAGTCAAAGATTTCCTATTTTTGAGAACTCTCAGTCTATGAAATGGACTCCGAATGCAAAAATCACGGCCATTTTCTTTAATTATAGGCACTCAATAAATTTCTTGATCAAGAGAGGCAAAGATCTGCTACTTTTGAGAACTCTAAAATTCCGTGACATGGACTCGTGCTTATTTTCTTTATATGGACGCACTCATTAAATTTCCTGTTTAAGCAAGTCAAAGATTTCCTATTTTTGAGAACTTTCAGTCTATGAAATGGACTCCGAATGCAAAAAAAACGCGGCCATTTTCTTTAATTATAAGCACTCGATAAATTTCTTGATCAAGAAAGTCAAAGATCTGCTACTTTTGAGAACTTTAAAACTCTGTGACACGGACTCGGCCTTATTTTCTTTAAATGGACGCGCTCATTAAATTTCCTGTTTAAGAAAGTCAAAGATTTCCTTTTTTTGAGAACTCTCAGTCTATGAAATGAACTCAGAATGCAAAAAACGCGGCCATTTTCTTTAATTAAAAGCACTCAATCAATTTCTGGATCAAGAAAGTCAAAGATCTGCTACTTTTGAGAACTTTAAAATTTCGTGACATGGACTCGTGCTTATTTTCTTTAAATGGGCGCACTCATTAAATTTCCTGTTTAAGAAAGTCAAAGATTTCCTATTTTTGAGAACTCTCAGTCTATGAAATGGACACCGAATGCAAAAAACGCGGCCATTTTCTTTAATTAAAAGCACTCAATAAATTTCTGGATCAAGAAAGTCAAAGATCTGCTACTTTTGAGAACTTTAAAATTTCGTGACATGGACTCGTGCTTATTTTCTTTAAATGGCCGCACTCATTAAATTTCCTGTTTAAGAAAGTCAAAGATTTCCTATTTTTGAGAACTCTCAGTCTATGAAATGGACTCCGAATGCAAAAAACGCGGCCATTTTCGTTAATTATAGGCACTCAATAAATTTCTTGATCAAGAAAGTCAAAGATCTGCTACTTTTGAGAACTCTAAAATTCCGTGACATGGACTCGTGCGTATTTTCTTTAAATTGACGCACTCAATAAATTTCTTGATCAAGAAAGTCAAAGATCTGCTACTTTTGAGAACTCTAAAATTCCGTGACATGGACTCGTGCGTATTTTCTTTAAATGGGCGCACTCGTTAAATTTCCTGTTTAAGAAAGTCAAAGATTTCCAATTTTTGAAAACTATCAGTCTATGAAATGGACTCCGAATGCAAAAAATCGCGGCCATTTTCTTTAATTAAAAGCACTCAATAAATTTCTTGATCAAGAAAGTCAAAGATCTGCTACTTTTGAGAACTTTAAAATTCTGTGACATGGACTCGTGCTTATTTTCTTTAAATGGACGCACTCGTTAAATTTCCTGTTTAAGAAAGTCAAAGATTTCCTATTTTTGAAAACTCTCAGTCTATGAAATGGACTCCGAATGCAAAAAACGCGGCCATTTTCTTTAATTAAAAGCACTCAATAAATTTCTTGATCAAGAAAGTCAAAGATCTGCTACTTTTGAGAACTTTAAAACTCTGTAACATGGACTCGTGCTTATTTTCTTTAAATGGGCGCACTAATTAAATTTCCTGTTTAAGAAAGTCAAAGATTTCCTATTTTTGAGAACTCTCGGTCTATGAAATGGACTGCGAATGCAAAAAACGCGGCCATTTTCTTTAATTATAGGCACTCAATAAATTTCTTGATCAAGAAAGTTAAAGATCTGCTACTTTTGAGAACTTTAAAATTCCGTGACATGGACTCGTGCTTATGTTCTTTAAATTGACGCACTCGTTAAATTTCTCGTTAAAGAAAGTCAAAGGTATCCTATTTTTGAGAACTCTTAGTCTATGAAATGGAGTCCGAATGCAAAAAACGCGGCCATTTTCTTTAATTAAAAGCACTCAATAAATTTCTTGATCAAGAAAGTCAAAGATTTTCTTTAAACGGACGCACTCATTCAATTTTTTGTTCAAGAATCCATGGCATGGAATGCACAACTCTGAATTGCCCAAAAGTCGCTTGGTTACTTATACTGAAGGTAGAGGTTTTATAGGTCTCATGTGTGATCCTCCGCCGATTTGGATTACGGTGGGAACGAGAGGTCGCACCTTGTGGAAGATCTGGTCGGTGTGGACGAAGAGCATGTCGGGTTTCGACATGAGCTCGACGATGCTCGGGTAGTCATCGCCAAAGTGATTTTGCACCAGGTGGTCGTGCATGCTGAAAATGTAGCGCGCAAAGAGCGGAAACAAGGGCATCGTGAGTACGGCTAGGAGCCTTTGCGGGAATGGCAACTGTTGATCGTATTGAAATATCGCATCGGGATACAGAATGGGATGGGTGGGATTGCCCATCAGTTTGTAATAATCGCTCGGCGCTTCCTGGGAGAACATCATGATGTAGGGGCACTTGAATTTGTGCACAAATCCGAAGAGTGCCGGCATAATCGACTCGATGATTATGAGGTCAAATTTCTCTTCGCCCCTGATCAGGGCCTGCACGCTTGGATGTCGCAACTGTTCGTCTTGTATGTCGATTGTACTTTTGTAAAAATCGATAGTCGCTCCAATGGGGTTGGTCTTGAACTTCAGCGCGTTCTTCATGATGTGCTCGTTCCATATTCGGTACGAGAAGTGCAGATCAATCTCGGTCAGGTTGGAGAGCTTGGGATCTCTCATTGGATCGGTCGTAAGCGCTGTAACTTCATGTCCTCGGAGCGATAACTCCCTGAAAAACGGTTGGAATACCACCTGGTGACTGATGGAGGGTGTTGGGACGACGCCCAAGATCTTCGCACTGTCGCCCACTCCCAAAAGTACCGCGAAACTGATCACCGCTACGCACGCGAACATTTCACAGACTTAACGTGAATCGAGGCCATTAGAACCACACGGACTCGCCCTTGACTGAAATAGCGAGGTGACGTAACACCACTTAACGAGAAAATTGAGATTGTTCAGGGAATGCGCAGTGGAATAAATAACGGGCGCCAGGCGGTCAATAATTGCTCTGATCAGGTCGTCTGCGTTTGGCAGTTAACAAAATTTGTTAGTTGACACCTATGGCAATCTTTCGGGTTTTTACTTGTCGCATCCAGAATGCCTTTTTTTGTGAGAAGAACATTATTATTCCCAGTGGATGTTAGACCATACGAAATTATCAGTAGCCCTCCGTTCGTGCTAGAAGAGAAAACGAGTGCTTCGAATGGCTGCGACGTAATTCATTTTCACTAAAGTCTAACTTAAGCATCTGGTACGAAGGGGCGTCTTTAAAGGGTCGCTGATAAGTCTGGAAACGGTCGATTACCGGAGAAAGTATATAAAATAGTTTTGGGGTTCTTCAATGTCTACTAGACAGTCATAATTTTAATTATACAGTGTTTTGACGTACCAAAATTGCATTTTGAATGGAACACCCTGTATATTATTCGATATTTCATCTAAGTGTTGTTCAAATGCTTCCGAAACCACGAGAATATTGTCCACGAATACTCCGCGATCGCCAAAACCCGAACGAAACCGGTCCGTCGAACGCATAAATGTCCAGGGGGCATTCCGCAGCTCGAAAGGCATCCTCGAAAATCGGAAAGTTCCGTAGAGTGTAGTCGGGCACGTTTTATCTCGATCTTCGCTGGCAGTCGGCACGTGTCAGTACTCTCACTGTAAGTCTGTTGTGGACTCGCGGAAGGGGTTCGCTCCTTTACTTGTTTTACATCTGGCTGCAAGGGTTGATACATAAAAAAAATGATCTTGTACCATCCAAGATAATAACAATAGTAGAAATAGTTAACTTTTGATGTTCCCATTGACAGAAAACTAAGCACGGCAAATATTAGGATATTTTAAGTAAACATCTCCATAGATACAGCATTTTTTTATGGAATGGTTTGAGAGGTTCCACCCTGTATATACAATGCACACATTTTTGAGAGTTGGCAACCATGCAATTTCTAGGTGGGAAAAAGCTGCCTGCGCCATCTAAACAGCACGGACGAGGTCACGTTTGGCATCTTGTCTTGAATGGCGGTCGTAAACGCGTCGCTCCATAAATGTTTTTTGTTATTTTGTGTTATTTAATGCAGGCATTTATTTATATGGTATTTGTGTTTTGTATGCCGCATTTTATATTTTTTGTGTGTTTCAATCTTTGTTTTTGAAATTTACTTGGTTTAACCGCAATGCATAATCACATATGTGATATCGTTATGCTATTGTTTACGTTTTTGGTGTAATGCTTGCTTAATTTATGTTTATTGATGTTGATTACTTGGTTTTGTCCCTGAAGTAACGTTCATATAAGTTTTGATCATTTAATTTTAATATGTGGAAATTCCCGATTCGTTTGATGTATGTACTGACTTGTTGTTTCTAACTAACATTTTCTCCGTGAATGAAGCAGTCACGGGAGTGGTAAAAACTGTAGTCAAAATTGAGCTACGACACCTAATCCCGTGATTGTCTTCGACTTTCAAACGTAGGCTCGAAACCCCGAAACCAGGGGCGGGCTACCCATCTTGCCGGAGCGGGATTACGCTAATCAAAGCTCTTGAGTTTAGAATTTATGTGCGATAAATGAGTTACGATTTGATTTGATCACAATTTGATATTAATTTGGGAAGTTCTTTTTTTCTCAGCCTATTTCTATTTTTATTCGGTGAACTACCATTTTCAAAGTTTATTTATGCAATGTAATTTATTTCGACTTAAATCATACAATTTGGATAACGAACCTTGTGCTGCCCTTTCTTCTGATGCGGAGACCTGGGTTGGTTTACAGTTCACGGAGATGATTCAGTGCAGTGGTGTAGTTGACGAGTGATGGCTGGGGATGCACCCTTAACTTGACAGCACAGATAACTCACTTGCAGGGGTACATCTTTAATGCCGCCTGATTTTTGGTCAGTACACAATTTTGGGGTCGAAAGAAGATACAGATACAGAAGCACGATACGATTACGAGGTGTTTGACTTATTCACGGAACGACGTAATTGTTTCTTTGCGTGTTTAATCCTAACGGAAAAGGCACTTTGGTGGTAATCTAACGGTCAATAATTTTACACGCCACCTTTCACTAAGGGTTGTGAAAAACAAATTAAAACTCACTGTCGCTGTAGTAATCCGAAATGGGAACTAGGACTCCTTTAAACGTAAACATCTCCCCTCTCTATAGTAAACTGACTTAAAATGCCTATTTCAAGATGGAAAGTAATGGAGATACTCCGTTAAATTGCATTGGTTCGCCAAATCTAAGGTGGTCTACAAAAAACGTTGATACAGCAGAAATTTACTTATCTCCTCAGAGGAACTCACAGCCTAGGATATGAAACCTTATATGACCCCTTTTTATCACGTAAAACGAAACTGTTTCCCGGCCATGGGGCGACATGTACAATTAAGAACGAAGGTGTCTCTCATAGACTCGGCAGAGATGACAAAAGACGGAAACCTCGACTGCATTTAACCTTTAAAATTTATTCTTCCGCTTTTTTAATAGAATAAAAACGCCCTCTCGTTACAGCTTGTATTAGTTCAATTTTATTTCAGAACTTCTATTGTAACAATAACATTTTAAAACATTTTCAGTGAGTAAAGTGCAACTTGCAGATTAACACTAGAAAGCGATGTGCAATCCGTTCTCCGATAAACGCCATTGCAGATAATACCAAACCAAAACAGAAAATAATAAAAATTCCATTCAAGTGCTCTAAAGATAGCGCCACCACGTCGTCTTCCTGCGGCAATTCCCTTTTTTTGAAGTCTTCGTATGATTTCCGATCTCTGTCTAGTTTATCGTACAACCCGCTTTCGGTCAATCTATCGATGATCATGTTTAAGCTGTCGATAATGGAACTACTTTTCGCTGCTGCAAAAGTCTCAATCAAGGGAGGTAAAATGTGATTATCGATGAAGTAATTTGGAGCACGCAATCGTAAACTCAGTGCCTGTGCGTGCAGTGTACTCAATGGAGTGGCGATAGAGAAATTTGGACGTGTACCCCAAGTCTCCAGGAGCACACGAGGGTCGTAAGATTTGATGGGACATGACTTTAACTGTATCTTTTTGTATATTTCCCTAAGATCGTACAACATGTGTCCATTTATCACGTATAGGGCGCTGGAATCCAAACAAATTGGAATATCAGCTTCTAGCAGTTCCTTTAAATGGCGAGTAGGTCGCCTTGTTGGAGGTGAAGTCATCAGGCGCATTAGGTTCGAGACGTACGCTGTTTGTATGTGCACACTGTATATAATGTAGCACAGAATTACGAGGTTTAGTCTTGAAGGTCTGGTATTGCGACTGGTGCTTCCAGATAACGTGATCCCAAAAGTCTTCAAAACAATTTCACTGAAGCTTGTTTTGAATTTGCCCAAAACGTACCAGGTTAAGGTAAATAATGCAAAAATCACCGACACTGATATCCAAACTTCCATGTCAAAATTAATTGCTAAAATTTCCAATGCCGAAATGGCATTTGTTGGCGGAACTACCCACACCATGACGTCCCGTGTATATACGTGACTCACATGAGAACGTCCTTTCATTGAGGAAACTAATTGGCCATCAGTTATTATGATCTTGGCGTGATTCTTTTGAGGTTTGTCTAAAGAGGCATTCAACATTTCAACTGCAATGAGAATTGTAAATGTCCTGCGATTAAATTTATCGATATGTGGCACACGGGCAGTAGAACCGAATTCTATAGAACATCCATGGTAATCTCTTATAGTGCGCGGAATTGTGTCAATGAACGCATCATCACAGCTTTGCACACGAATTTTGTTCGGCACTTTGCCGCAATGGTTCTGAACATCATGCGGATTTGCCGTATATAAAAACGATTTTGCATCTTCATCCTTGTTGATCATTAAAACTGCCACATATGCAATGCCATAACTCCAGAGTAAATCGAAAATCATTTCGACGCGCTGTACGTGATTGGTTATAATAAGGAATCTTGCATTGAAGGGGCGATGCGTATTCCATATGTTTATGAATTGCAAATAGTTAACACATCTTTCTAAATCATCTAAATTTCTGACGTCGAATACGAAATTGTCGGAAACCTTCCTCTTCATGATACGGATCGGATAACTGACTTTTAGTACAATCTTTGGGTTTCTTATATTGAACGGTAACAGGTCACCACTTTTTTCGAAAACATAGTAAAGCGTTTCGTCTGCAAAAATCGTTCGAATAACTTTTTCTGCACATACCTTCGGGGATGTCTGACTACTTTTCAGTGAAATGTTAATTGAGGTGCTTAAAAAAGATACAAAAATGACGCACGATGCAAACGTTGTAACTTTCATTGTAGTGCTACTTTTATTACAACACTGAATCGTTAGGTGCTGAGTGACAAACCGAACAAACTCATATGTTGTGTGGGTACATAATGCGCTAATGTGTTTACTGTAGCAGCACTTAATAACTACCTTTTACTACACTCTACTTGCTAAGTAAAGTGCTTTTTTCATGAATTTAATGGACATGGTATTAGTCACGCGATCGATAAGAAAACAGGTCACCGTTTCAGTAATCGATCCTCCGTTTATCTAACATTTGGATTCTTTCATTGTTAAAATAAATAATTGCAACATCCCTGCGCCAATTTCACGCTGTGCGAGATACAATGACGCCTACTATGCCAGGCAACGAAAAGGTATAGAGGGAAATAAATGCTGGGAACACAACTTTTGGCCTCATAACTTTGTTTTGTTAGATGTACATATAAAAACTCCCCGCCCGTAGCCCATGAGCCGGAGTGAGGAGGGGGGGGGGCGGTTTTTCGCTTATATCTCGGAAACTATGCGTCATAGCCAGTGGTTTTGGTGGACGCTTATATAGGTCAGCCGCACGTAATCACTAATGTAGTAGGTTCCGCCCACTAATGTGGAATTCTGTAATCGGTCCGTGCGTTCCGAACCATATCCAATGGCGGAACCAGTCCACGAAAGCGCATCAAGAATAACGTATCGCAGTTCAGTTTATTTTTATTGTACAGGGTACTTATAAAAATACAATTTTTACATTTTCTTTTAACACCTGACCGGATGCATTATACATTGATGTTTTCCGGTCGATCTGAGACAATTTTTTCTTCGGGCCAAAAAAAAGGCAGTGTATAACCTTCCTTTTTTACCAAAAATCGACTACACCAAAATTTCTCGGGAAAAAACTTTTTCTTATTAATTTTGGTGCGTAGAATCCAAAACGATTCGTACTTTTTCGATTAGAGGTCTCAATCAAAAGTTAAGGGCAAAAAACCAATTTCGACAAAAAAATCAAAGGGCTGTAACCTTCGATCTAGTGGCCCGATCTTGGAACTGTTTGAAATTATGGATTCTACAGGCCACGTTCTATAAGAAAATTTTTTTTTTGCATATACGAGTATATATTATAAAGTTGAATATTTGCTTTAGAGGGTTGTTTCGTCTCAAACCCTCATTTACAGTGTAGCAGAGGTACTTAAAAACCATTTCACCATTTAATAAGGATTGTTGAGAACATCCCTTTACCCTTTCTTTAAGAGACCACAAGAGGATCATTAACCGACGAGCAGCCGAGGCATGTTAATATAAAATTCTATGAGGTGAACCACCCCTGATTAATTACGTTATAGCAACTATAGACAAAAAGAAGAAGTAAAATTGTAACAGCTCAATTTTATTTCAGAACTTTTATTACACCTTTTTCACAATAACATTTTAATACATTTTCAGTGAGTAAAGACAGAGTAACACCCGAGGATCGCATCATCACAGCTTTGCGCATGTATTGTATTAGCTACTTTGCCGCAATCGTACTGAACATCATGCGGATTTGCCGTAAATAAGAACGATTTTGCATCTTCATCCTTGCTGATCACTAAAATCGCCGCATACCATAATAAATAGGTCGCCGTTTCATTTATTTTCCGTGTATTTAATAACATTTAGATTTTTACTGTTCTTTCATTATTGAAATTATTAATTGCAATATTCCTGCTCTGTGCGAGATATGAGATGCAATGAAAGGTTGTAACTGTCTATTTTCGTCATTAGCAGCATTATTAATGCTTCATCATTAATTCCTGCGCATATGCTGGTGGGTGTCTGCCCCCCCCCCCTTCCCAGGTTCTATGTTTTCAACTAAAATGAGAAGTGAGAGCACTTGGGTTTGAAAGTTTTAAGGTGGCCGGCAGCTCCGGGGGTCTGGGGGAGGGGTGTCCCAGCCAAATGCAATAGTATCCAGTAAATAATACTTGCTGAGTGGCTGAGCTCGGGTCTGCCTCCCCCCCTTCCCGGGTTTTATGTTTTCAACTAAAATGAAAAAATGTGAACATGATACGTTCACTAAGATATCTACCCATTTTTGCTTTAGCCAAGATACAAACCACACGAAGCTAGGATAAGAACCCGTTTTACATTAAGCTAAAATTGATTGCGAATTAATTTGGATCAAGATAGACTTTTCTCTCATTTTGGAGGCTATAATTTGAATTTAAAGTGAATGCATACGATCAAGTTTTTAGTGAATGGTAACGTTAATTTCTATAAATTTTAAGTTATTAATTGACGCAGTCCATCGCGGATCAGAAGTACTTTGGGGCTCATCAAGCTGAGTGGCTGAGCTCGGGTTCCTTGTACCTTTTTGCTGTAGATTGTTATTGCTCGAAGCGTCGGAAAAGCTCTGTTCCTACCCTCGTTAAAAGGTAAGAATTAAGTTCACGATTATATTATGGGATGGGAGAAAGTTTGGAACCACGAAAATCTTAGAAGCCATATCATATTTCACAGAAAGAAAGGATCATATCTACTTTTAATCCTTATCGCCGGTGACCTTATCCTTTATTGACTTGATGGCGCCTTGATATCGCTCTAGAAAATTCGCTACACTGTGGAGTTAATTCAATGATTGAATTGCTAACGTCCAATTTATATGTAACGTTTCGTATTTACCGGCACTGCAATTCTATTACTTGTGAAGCAGTTTTGTTGTTGTTCATGTAAAACTGGCGAGGCCCTTTTAATTTTATAAAATTATATACTTCGGCTTCCTCCTTGTCATTTATTAGCACATTTCGACTCTCGTTCACAGCTCAAGTTTAAGTTTACCATACAACTGAGAATTTGGGGTTAGTTCAAGCAGTGTACATTTCGGTTTATCGCATTTTTTCGCTTTTGCCACCTCTTCACTATCATAACGTTTTATGCTCTCCTAATACAAATGTTCTTTTTGAAGTTTCGGTATTAGAGTTAAAGAATCTTAGGAAGGCATGGCTTGAAACCCTCCTCAGTTTTATGCTTATCTAATACCAAACGTTTCTGTTCAAAATTGTTGTATCAGGAGCACCAAGTATGCTAGCAAACAATGCACTTCTTCCGAACAAATTTCTCTTTAAAATGCTTACATTTTGTTTTACAGAATCGCAGGAACCTTCTGTTGGCAATAATGGTAAAGGTAGACGTAAATGCAAACACTTCTTGCATTTATGCGCTCCTGATACAATTGAGAAATTTAAGTGGATTGGGAAAAGTTTGCATTTAGACTTAACCGAAGTACCTAATTGAACTGTTTATTTAACTACTTAAATCTATACAGTATTGATTTTATCGCATGCCCTTCCAGCCGGAGGCAGAGGAATTAAAACGGGAGTAATCGGCGTGTTCTCCCAGTAGCCGGGGAAGCGGTCGCCGCTCGACATGTTGCACTGCATGCTCAGCGGGGACTCGTCGTAGACCTCCCTAAGCAATTCCACCCGCATCTTGTTCCACTCGATCGCCCTGTAGTTGTCCGAGATTCCGTTGGCGGCGGATGTCGGTTGGTTTTCCCACCTGAAAAGCGTCGGGTGTGGAGGAGGAGGTTTTCTGGGGGGTACGTACTCGTGCATGTATTGAAAGTAGGTGGCGAGCGCCTGATCGCTGATGGCGCTCTTGCAGACCTCCAAGGGGGCGGCTGGGTAGTAGTGGACGTAGTTGACGCACATCTCGTCGCTTATGGCGAAGCCTCCCAAGGTGACGTTGTCCCGGTCCAGCGTTTCGTAGTCGCACGTTGTGATTAGCGCGTCGCCCTGAAATCTGGGCGGTTAATTTTGGAGGTGACGTGGTGCCGTGACGTCTACCGGTAGCACGTTGACAACGCGCTTCAAGCGGCGTATCTCCTGAAAGTGGGTGCTGTAGTGGTTGTCCCAGTTTAGCTCCGGGAGCTCGTGGCCGTTACGGATGTGTCTCGTTCGCACCCGAATTCCGGTCAGGTGCGTGTGGAGCTGCGATCCGAACACCAAGATCCCTTCCGGTGGTAAGCTCTGCGGGATTTTGATGCAGGCGGGCAGGGGCCAGGGTCGTGGTACTTACGACAGCGGTGCACTCGGTTACGCAGTATCCCGACAAGGGAAACGAGTCCTGACCTGGAGGAATCGCCATTTTGTCGGTGTACTCCAGACCGAGCTCGATGACGCCGGCGTCGTTCGGTCGCAGATCGGACACGATGAAGAACTGTATACCGGAACTGTCGATCCAATCTGGAAGGAGTGGTTACTTGGGAAGATAACCGACGTACTCACCGCCTCGTTTTTCGGGGTTGTTGTAGTGGATCTCCAACATGATGTAGGGGTTGAAAGTTGGGCCTCCGAAGGGCAATCCGGCTTCCTAGGTGTAAGCGATTCGTGTGGTTTGAGAAATGGGGGAGTAACACCGGCGCACTAGGCGCCATTTTGGGTACACAAAACACAAAATACTCCCCTTTTTCGACAATCGTCATCATGCAACCATTCGTATGTCCAGGGAGGCATTCCACATCCCCCCCCCCCAAACTAGGTTTTCAACCAAAATGAGAAGTGAGAGCACTTAGACTTGAAAGTTTTAAGGTAGAATACAGCTGCGGGGCGCCTAGGGTATGGAATAACAACCCCCCCTCCCACCCTTCTTGCCAAAAACAACAGTCCCAAGTAAAGGAAAATTTGATGACTTTTTTTAATAATCGTCATCATTAATTCATTATATATACTGGGTGGTATTCCATATACCCAGACCCCCCCCCCCCCCGGTAGTGTGTTCAATGAAAATGGGAAGTGATAGCATTTAGCGTCTTGAAAGTGTTTAAAGATGGAGGCAGCTCGGTGGGGGGGGGGGCATCGAATACCCCCAGCCAAATACAATAGTCCCAGTAAATAATAATTTGATGAACCCATGTTTTGGGCTACCATCATCATTAATGCGGATATAGTGGTGGTGGTGGGGGGGGTTCTGCAGCCGTCCACACCCGTTCTATGTTTTCAAACCAAATTGAGAAGGCTGAGATTTGAAAAGTTTTAAGGGTGGTTGCGTAACTCTTGGAGTTCGAGGGGGGGTTATCCAGCCAAAAACACAATAGTCTCCAGCAAATAATACTGGACACTCTTCATGAAATTATTCGTTATGTCCTGGGATGTACTCCATATCCCCAGACCCCCTTCTAGTGGTCTTTTCAAACCAAAATCAAGATCTGAAAGCAGTTTAGCTGGAAGTTCTGAGAGGGAGGGGGCATTCAAATACCCCCAGCCAAATACAATAGTTCCCAGTGAATAATATTTGATGAGTCCATGTTTGGGCTAGCATCATCATTAGCTCATGCGCATATACTGGTGGGTGTCTGCCCCCCCCCCCCCCTTCTACCGGTTCTATGTTTTTAACCAAAATGAGAAGTGAGAGCACTTGGGTTTGATAGTTTTAAGGTGGCTGGTAGTCCGGGTGTCGGGAGGGAGGGAGGAGTATCCCAGCCAAACATAATAGTATCCAGTAAATAATACTTGACTCTTCATCAAATCATTCGTATGTCCTGGGAGGTATTCCATACTCCCCAGATCCTCCCCACTCTATGTCTTCAACCAAAATGAGAAGTGAGAGCACAGGTCTGAAAGTTTTAAGGTAGGTGATAGCTCCGGGAGGCCTGGGGGTATGGAATAACACCCCTCCCCCCTTCGCCAAACTCCCAAGTCCCCACTAACGAAACATTTGATGACCTTTTTTTCGATAGTCGTCATCATTAACTCATTCGCATATACTGGGGGGTATTCCATATCCCCCAAACCCCCCGGTTGTGTGTGCTCAATGAAAATGGGAAGTAATAGTGTTTATGTCTGCTCTGGGGGGGGGGGGGGGGCTCAACGTGAAACGTGGGTTTGAACATGATACATTAGCTAAGATATCACCCCATTTTTGCTGTAGCTAAGATACACACCACACGAAGATAGGATAAGAACCCGTTTTACGTTAGCTAAAATAAGAACCACAACATTAGTTCTTCCACGGGACGAGACAGTGACGTCACGAAATCCAAGATGGCGCATATTACCCCGGTTCTACTGGCGAGTCTTACCTCTGGGTATACAAATGGGGTAGCCCCCATAGCCCATGCGGCAATCACCCGCTTGCACACCTGGGTCGACTTAGGCCTCTCGGGCGCAAAGCACGAGCCCGAATACAGGTCGATCTCCTCTTCAGGGGGTGCTATGCAGTGGAACACCTCCATATGATGCACCAATCCCTCATTTCCCTTCTGTATTATCGCACCATACTACAAAATAAGGTCAGTCACCAATGCGCCATCTAGCGCTCGTTACCTGAATGACGTGGTGCTTCTCCAAGTACTCCCTCGGGAGTTTGTACACGTGGCACCAGTACGTGGTATCAGCATCAGGAACCTGCACCTTGCTCACCAAAATCTCTACAGTCTTGTGATGCGGGGGCAAGTCTAGGTTCGCCGCCACATTCTTCAGGAGCTGCACCCTCACCATGCCCCTGTCACCATCACCGGCGCTCACATTCAACCCCGCCAGCTGATACAGCCGGTCCTTCCCCCGGGACCACACCACGTGATTCGTCCCATCCTGAAACACCTTCAGCAGCAACCCTCATACATCCCCCCCCAGCCTTACCTCAATAACATAGCGACTAGCATGGCACGTGTCGAACTCTCTCCCATAGGTAAACTTGGTAACGTGGCCCTTTCGCTTAATTTTAGACCGCAAGCAGTGCTGCTCCTCGTCCACGACCAGGACACCTTTCTCGTCGGCGACGGCGTTCTGCAACCGCCACGCGTTACGTGTACATCAAAGTGCGACTCACCTCGAAGTTTATCCGTCCCTTCCAGTCGTACCAAAGCACGCAGTAGTCCGCAGGAAAAGATTCGCCTCGGTCCGAAAACCCAACAGCGAACCATCCGAAGTCCGACGACAGGTGCACCTCGAACTGGACGCTCCTGCGGCTATAATCGGGCGTCCAGTCGAAGGTGATTAGGCCGCGCTCGTCGAGCGGCACGCGGAAGACCTCCGCGGACGCCAGCGAGAGCGTCGTCACGATCAGCACGCGCAGACATTGCCGATTCATCGCATCGCGAATAATGCGGTCCGAGGATGCGGCGCCCTTTTATATGGCGTCGCGTTTTACAAAGCGCGCGCGTCTATTAATTGACGCCCGAAGGTGCAATTTAGAGCTTTATTAAATTTTGCTCCATCCGCGATGCTTAATTGGAAATAGTTTATCACTCGTAAAACACCATTCCGTTATAACTCATATGTTGATAGGAATTTATGCCGAACTCGTCTAGAGATCGCTCGCTAACCATTTTTAACAAGTATAAATTGTGCAGATAAAGCGCACTTTTTTAACCGAAATAGCTTTTGTTTAGACATCACCAATGGATATATTTCTTGCAGACGTCTCAATCGCTCTGTGTGAGTACCCTTTTCTGACAATCCGTTCTTGAGGTATGAGGGAATACACCCGATCACGATAAGAGGGCGAGAAGGAGAGCTATGGTTTGTAGAAATTAATTCCTTTCGTTGAGACCTTTCGTTAGAGTACCATGAAGGATATAACTAGTTCCACTCCCCCTCCCCTCCCCCTCCACCCCCCGTCAGGCTCCGTCGCTCATTGATCTCGAAAAATAGGCGCACGTGAAAGTTATACTCGTAGTTTGTACAAACCAATTTATTTCGATGAGACCTTTCAATAGAATACCATGAAGGGTAGAACATGTGGTTACCCCCCCCCCCCAATTTCCTAAAGTTTAATTTAGCACCACTAAAGGAATGCGTATGCAAAATCTGAGACCAATTGGTTGTTGTATGTAAATCTATGCACGTTTGACGTTCAAAAACAGCATATCAGGAAATAATTCGTGGGGCGGTGGAGGGGGGGGGGCCTTTTAGACAGCGAAATTGGATGGCCGTCTGGCACACCTTCAAGGTATAGGCTACCTATTGCAAAAAATTCCAGGACCGTTCCCCTAGAAGTAGTTCAAAACGGTAGAAGTGGGTCCGGACGGAAACAATAGCACATTTTTTTAATTCTTAAAAAATGCGCTAAAAAGGGAATTTGGGATAACATAAGGCGCGAAGTGGTTATCAATAAATTGTCGCCCTTACACCTTCTTAGGTTTCTGTACTCCTAATACATGGATGTTTGAAAGAGATTTTTAATTAGGAGAGCAATTGGTATTAGGGAATCATAAAACCTTCAAACCTGCTTATCGATATTTTCAAATGAAACCTGGCACTTAGCGAGGGTTTGTTGATAAATTCTTTTTCAACTATAGTGTCTTTCCATTCTGTACTCCTAGTACATGAAATTATGAAGAGCAACACTTGCATTAAGGCGTAGAAACATCAGGAGGACATAATAACTGACAATACATTTCAGATCTTTTTCGGGGGAACATACTAAGTCAAAAGGTCTCTGGGCATAAATTGCGTTTTTTTTATCGAGCCGTTTCTTTGATCCTGCTACCACATTTTTTAAGGGAAGTTTGAATCAGGAGAGCGTGAGTAAAGAATAAATTCCACGCTGGGTTTTTATGTGATCCAGCTACCACAATTTGTGAAAGAGGGATATTAGGAGAACATAATATGTAAGAGTATCACAATCAACTTTGTCGATACACTGTTTGCTAGTATACAATTCTAGAATATTGTGCTCCTGATCCTACAATTAAAAGGAAAGGGGGTATTAGTCACGCATAAACCCTGGCAATGTTTGTCGATGAATTACTCCCCAGTTTCTACTTTTTGGTACTCCTAATACATAAATTTTTAAAAGAGAAATGCGAGCTTGATAAATAATTTATGTAATACCTTATGATACTGCAATTTAAATGTAGTCAGTATTTTTGAAACTCACTCTGTTTGACTCTGTGCTCCTCATACAATTTTTAAAATAGGAATTGGTATTAGGCAAACATGGAATGGGATGAAATGATTCTCCGTCATCCATTTTTAAATGACGCCTTTTTACGTGTTATACTAATATAGAAGTTTTTAGAAGAGAAGCTTGGATTAGGAGAGCATAAAACGGGAAAATAGAGAAGTAGAAGACGATTCTCTTAAAACCATGTTCTTGAAGCACATGTCAAGCCTATCCTTTCTGTAAGTACCGATAGCTTGGAGAAAATTGCTGAAATGGCCGACAAGATAATGGACTGCCGAGCGAGCCGAAAGTGAGTTCGGCACAAATTGTATTACTCCTTTGCTCTACCTAATTTGTGCCGAACTCGCTTTCGACTCGCTCGGCAATGGGTTTAAACCTATCACTTTTGCGTGGAAGTTTAATAACATGCCGAGCGAACCGAAGGTGAGTTCGGCACAAACTAAGGCAGAGTAATTCGTGCCGAACGGTAAAGGGGCGGTTGGCGTATTCGACTGGTTTCTATTAAGTTTCGTCGCCTTGGACAAGTACGAAGCCTATGGTTGTCTCAGGAGGGGGTCTGAGGTTAGGAGCGTATTCAACGTTAGGAAAGCAACTTTCTGTCCCGCGAGAGCTGGAGTAGCAGGAGGCGACGCATCCTTTGCAGTGGACGTCCGTTCTTTCGCCCCTTTTCGTTCACGGCATTCATCTTTTGTGTGACTTTTGCTCATACAGAAGGCGCACCAAGAGCGTTTCGTCGCCCCTTGTGACGGTGAGGTGTCTGGTTTGTGTTACTGTTACGGATCTCATCCTGGAGTTCGATGTAGCAAGACCGTATCGTTTTTTTTTTGGTCATATACAGGGTGGTTCAAAATTGAGTGCGCAGATTTTAAGGGCCAATTTGTGCCGAACTCACCTTCAGCCCGCTCGGCATCAAAATAGGCCCGTTATTAAAGTTCAACGCAAAAGTGATAGTATTAAAATTAGGGTCGATCGAACTGAAGGCGAATTCGGCACAAATTTGGGCAGAGTAAAGGTCGGATCGAGTAAGTCAATTTGTGCCGAACTCACCTTCGGCTCGCTCGGCATCAAAATAGGCCCGTTATTAAAGTTCAACGCAAAAGTGATAGTATTAAAAGTAGTGTCGAGCGACCCGAAGGCGAATTCGGCACAAATTTGGGTAGAGTAAAGGTTGGATCGGGTAAGTCAATTTGTGCCGAACTCACCTTCGGCTCGCTCGGCATCAAAATATGCCCGTTATTAAAGTTCAACGCAAAAGTGATAGTATTAAAAGTAGGGTCGAGCAACCCGAAGGCGAATTCGGCACAAATTTGGGCAGAGTAAAGGTCGGATCGGGTAAGTCAATTTGTGCCGAACTCACCTTCGGCTCGCTCGGCATCAAAATATGCCCGTTATTAAAGTTCAACGCAAAAGTGATAGTATTAAAAGTAGGGTCGAGCAACCCGAAGGCGAATTCGGCACAAATTTGGGCAGCGGATCGGGTAAGTCAATTTGTGCCGAACTCACCTTCGGCTCGCTCGGCATCAAAATAGGCCCGTTATTAAAGTTCAACGCAAAAGTGATAGTATTAAAATTAGGGTGGAGCGAACTGAAGGCGAATTCGGCACAAATTTGGGCAGCGTAAAGGTCGGATCGGGTAAGTCAATTTGTGCCGAACTCACCTTCAGCTCGCTCGGCATCAAAATATGCCCGTTATCAGAGTTCAACACAAAAGTGACGGTATTAAAATTAGGGTGGAGCGAACTGAAGGCGAATTCGGCACAAATTTGGGCAGCGTAAAGGTCGGATCGGGTAAGTCAATTTGTGCCGAACTCACCTTCAGCTCGCTCGGCATCAAAATATGCCCGTTATCAGAGTTCAACACAAAAGTGACGGTATTAAAATTAGGGTGGAGCGAACTGAAGGCGAATTCGGCACAAATTTGGGCAGCGTAAAGGTCGGATCGGGTAAGTCAATTTGTGCCGAACTCACCTTCGGCTCGCTCGGCATCAAAATAGGCCCGTTATTAAAGTTCAACGCAAAAGTGGTTTAGTATAAAAGTTAAGGGTTCGAGCGACCCTAGGCGATTTTCGCACAAATTTGGCAGAGTAAAGGTCGGATCGGGTAAGTCAATTTGTGCCGAACTCACCTTCGGGCTCGCTCGCATAAGTCAATTTGTGCCGAACTCACCTTCGGCTCGCTCGGCATCAAAATAGGCCCGTTATTAAAGTTCAACGCAAAAGTGATAGTATTAAAAGTAGGGTCGAGCGACCCGAAGGCGAATTCGGCACAAATTTGGGCAGCGTAAAGGTCGGATCGGGTAAGTCAATTTGTGCCGAACTCACCTTCGGCTCGCTCGGCATCAAAATATGCCCGTTATTAAACTTCAACGTAAAAGTGACAGTATTAAAATTAGGGTCGAGCGAACTGAAGGCGAATTCGGCACAAATTTGGACAGAGTAAAAATCCGGTTGGATAACTCCATATGTGCCGAATTCGCCCCTTCGCCTCGCTTGGGATTTTTTTCCAGTTCATTTTGGAAAGGGATGGTAGTGGGCAACTATCTAACGTGAGGAGGTGTTTTGTGGGAAATTATTTTCGAATTACACCTTCTTGCATCTCTGCGATTCTATCTCTGCGATTTGTATCAGGAGAGCATACAACACGAAATGATTGTGAGTGAACTGTTTTCCAAGTATTGTTCTCCTGATCCAACGATACTCTTAATGAGGCAATTTGTAATTAGGAGAACATAAAACGTAAATCGCTTGCTTGCTGGCGTGTCTCAAATTCGCTCTCTTCAACTCTGTGCTCCCAATACAATTTTTAAATAAGAATATGTATTAGGGTAACAGACAACGCGACTTGTCGATACATTATTCTCTAATTACACCTGCTTCGTTTTTGTAATCCTGATAGAGAAATTTCTAAGAGAGTATTAGGTGAGTATAAAGCTATTGTGCTTTTAATATAACCATTTTTAAAAGAGAAATTGGTGAAAGGTGCTGGTCGGTAACATTGGTATTAGGAGAGCATAAAACTTTCGTATATTTTTGTGCTAGTGACAGTAGAAATTTATTTAACATCCCCAAAACGTGTACGAAAATCACAGATGAGTATAGTATGTGACGTCGAGCTCCTCGAGCTCGCCGACATGCGAGTCTTCCTTCGAGTTCGCCGAGGCGACGTTGTAGTGCGCCAGCCGCTGGAAGTACTTGTGCTGCAAGGCCTCCTTGGCCGTAATTCGCGACATGTGATCGTAGCGGAGGAAGGACTCGAGGAGATTGAACGCGTCGTCGTTGACGAGATACTCGTTTTCGCTCGTGACGAATCGGTCCCAGGTCTTTCGGCCGTTTACGTGAATGATGTCGCGCAGCTTCAGGTCGAGCTTGATGTTGTACTTCGTCAGGTAATTGTAGAAGTCGGTGGTGCCGAGCACCTTGACGATGCGTATTAGTTGGTCGACATTGTCGGTGCCGTGGAAGAAGGGCTCCCGACGGAAAATCATGGAGGCGAACATGCATCCGACCGACCACATGTCCAAGGAGTAGTCGTAGAAGCCGTAGTCGACGAGCAGCTCGGGCCCCTTGAAGTAGCGAGACGCGACTCGCACGTTGTACTCCTCGCCCGGGTGGTAAAACTCTGCCAATCCCCAGTCGATCAACCTCAACTTCTTGCGGTCGCGGTCGACGATGATATTGTGGGGCTTGACGTCGCGATGCATTATCCCCTTGCTGTGACAGTAGTCGAGCGCCTTCAACAGCTCGTGCAGATAAAACCTGGTCTCGTACTCCGAAATGGTCAAGTAAATCTGCTTGAAGTCGGTTTTGCCGACGTACTCAAAGACCAAGGCCGTCATCTTCAGAAGTTGAACGCTCACCACCGCTCTCAGCGCTATAACGTTCGTCCCCCCTCGTAGAAACTCCAAAATTTTGATCTCGCGCTTGATCTTCCTCCCCTTGACGGGTTTCAAGATCTTCAGGACGCACCGCTGCTTGGACGGCAGATGCACCCCCTCGAAAACCTCGCTGTACTTGCCCCGTCCCAATTTCTGCATCACGCAGTAGTTCTCGCCGGTTTCGGATTGGGGCGCGAACGCGTCGTAGTCGAAGAACTCCTCGGGCTTGCCGACGAGCGCGTTCGCGTACGTCCTCGCGGTGGTTGGAATTACGGACATCTCGAAACGGCGAGCGAATTTGAAAAAAAAAACGCGCGCACGAACTTGCGCCCGTCCGACTGACAGATCCGTAGACAGACCTGCCAACCCGATTTCAGTTTCCACTAAAAAATGAACGACGGGCGGAGTCGTTGGTTTCTCCATTCTTAGCAGAAGGTAATTTCCCTTTTAAAAATGATTGCATCAGGAGCACCGAAACCCACGAAGAGGTATTGGAGATCACTTTAGTCCCTCCTAATACAAAATCTCTGTCTCATGAACTTCTTCATTAGGAGTACAGAACCATAAGTACCAATTTTTTCTTGAGTCTTCTCTCTGTTCTGTATTGAAACGATGAAGGTGTAATTAATTTACGTGAGGCACTGTTTAGTGTTCTATGTTTGTCTTGTATCAGGAGCGCAGAATCCATGAGGTTAAATTGGGGAAAGGTCCGTTCGACAGAATTGCTTTCAAAAAGTATCTTGCCGACCGACTTAGTTTCTCCATTCTTAGCATGGAAAAGTCCTAAATGAGAAATCGACAAAGGAATTTCGTACCGGAATGTCGAATTCTCGCGTACAATAAAGTGGAAAGCAGCAGCGCGTGATCGTATTTCCAAATTGCATTCCGAGAGAGTAGATCAATATGAAAATTCCGATCCTAATGCGTGATGTCGTTGCAATATATTTCAGTGGCATGATTTTTTATTTCTGTAACAGGCATGCAGTGATCCTGAAAAGTTTGATAATATACACTCTAAAAGACCCAAGGGCTATATTTGTTTCCTGTTATTGATTTCTTTGCGGAGATGCGTTTTAGTTCTGCGTATGTTGAAGCAAAAGATCCCAGGTTGATAACACATGTCTTCGTGCTCTCCTAATACAATTGTTTTTCAGAAATTCAGGTATTAGGAACACAGACAAGTAGAAAGGTATAATACTTATCATAGTTCATTATGTTCTCCAGATAGCCAGAAAAATTTTACATGTTTTTCATCAAATAAATAACGTAGATTCCAAAACGACTCGTACTTTTTCGATTAGACTTCTCAATCAAAAGTTATGGACAAAAAACCCATTTCGAAAGAAAAGGCCTTTTTTTTGAAGCCGGTAACAAAAATTGTCTCAGATCGACCGGAAGAAAACATTTTCTTATAGAATTTGGCATGTAGAATCCATAATTTCAAACAGTTCCAAGATTGGGCTACTAGATCAAAAGTTACGCCCTTTGAATTTTTTTTCAAAATAAAGTTATGGAGTAGAAACCAATTTCGAAAGAAAATTCAAAGGGCTGTAACTTTTGAACTAGTAGCCCAATCTGGGAACTGTTTGAAATTATGGATTCCACAGGTCACATTCTATAAGAAAATGTTTTTCTGGGTTTTAGCCCCGACGAGCCAGTTATAATCGTCATAACCCACACTGAAGCACTTTACGATCAATGAGGTGTCTGTGTGGGCGTCCCCATATCCGCCACCTGGAGACGCGCCCGATGGTTTCCTCCACCGCACGACCGCTTTAGGGGCTTATGGAAGCTCAGACCCTTCCCACGAGGCGTTTTTGAAGCGCTGCAGAGCAGCAAGGTACGAGATTGTGTGGCGCGTCTTTGCAGCGCTACTGTGTGGCGTGACACAACTGCTAAGTCGCTCAGCGGCGCTACCAAGTGGCGGTAGGCGACACCCGCGAAACTGAAATAGCTGTCACTTCCGCTGCATCGAGATCTAGATGGCGACCTCATTTGGTACGTGCGCTTCCTACGCAACAAACTTGTGTTGCCAGCCGTGATGGCACTAATTCTGAATCGCTCCGCGGGCAAAGGGGTCTCGCTGCCAGCCGCGCCGCTCCGTGTGAGGACGTCCATATAAAACAATGTTTCGCTATACTAGTGGCGCCACTCTGCGGAGCTTCAAAAACACGTGAGAAGGGGCTCTAAAAAATTTCTTACTTATAGATTCTTGGACGCTTGAAAATCTAGAGACATGTCTTTAGTTTAGTGAACTTTAATTAATCATAACGCACAAGTACAGAGAATTACTTATATCGAAAATTAATATCCAATTCTGCATCAGGATCATATGAGTGCGAGGAGGCGTTTCTTTTCCTAATACTACACTTGTTACTTGTGGACAAACTTATGTAAAAGGTGTCGTGCTACTAGGAGAACATAATGTACGACGAGGTCTTTTTCTAGCTCTGTCAGAATTATTTCAAAGCTTTCATTCGATATAAAAATTTGCCAATTCTGTATCAGGATCATATGAGTGCGAAGAGGTGTTTATTTTCCTAATACTACACCTGTTACTTGTCGACAAACTTATGCAAAAGGTGTCGTGCTACTAGGAGAACATAATATACGAAGAGGTCTTTTTCTAGCTCTGTCAGAATTATTTCAAAGCTTTCATTCGATTTAAAAATTTGCCAATTCTGTATCAGGATCATATGAGTGCGAAGAGGTTTTATTTTCCTAATACTACACCTGTTACTTGTCGACAAACTTATGCAAAAGGTGTCGTGCTACTAGGAGAACATAATATACGAAGAGGTCTTTTTCTAGCTCTGTCAGAATTATTTCAAAGCTTTCATTCGATTTAAAAATTTGCCAATTCTGTATCAGGATCATATGAGTGCGAGGAGGTGTTTCTTTTCCTAATACTACACCTGTTACTTGTCGACACACGTAAAAGGTGTCGGGCTACTAGGAGAACATAATGTACGAAGAGGTCTTTTTCTAGCTCTGTCAGAATTATTTCAAAGCTTTCATTCGATTTAAAGATTTGCCAATTCTGTATCAGGATCATATGAGTGCGAGGAGGTGTTTCTTTTCCTAATACTACACCTGTTACTTGTCGACAAGCTTATGTAAAAGGTGTCGTCCTACTAGGAGAACATAATGTGTGAAGAGGTCTTTTTCTAGCTCTGTCAGAATTATTTCAAAGCTTTCATTCGATTTAAAAATTTGCCAATTCTGAATCAGGATCATATGAGTGCGAGGAGGTGTTTCTTTTCCTAATACTACACCTGTTACCTGTCGACAAACTTATGTGAAAGGTGTCAGGCTACTAGGAGAACATAATATACGAAGAGGTCTTTTTCTAGCTCTGTCAGAATTATTTCAAAGCTTTCATTCGATTTAAAAATTTGCCAATCCTGTATCAGGATCATATGAGTGCGAGGAGGTGTTTCTTTTCCTAATACTACACCTGTTACTTGTCGACAAACAAATGCAAAAGGTGTCGTGCTACTAGGAGTACATAATTTACGAAGAGGTCTTTTTCTAGCTCTGTCAGAATTATTTCAAATCTTTCATTCGATTTAAAAATTTGCCAATTCTGTATCAGGATCATATGAGTGCGAGGAGGTGTTTCCTTTCCTAATACTACATCTGTTACTTGTCTACAAACTTATGCAAAAGGTGTCGTGCTACTAGGAGAACATAATATACGAAGAGGTCTTTTTCTAGCTCTGTCAGAATTATTTCAAAGCTTTTATTCGATTTAAAAAATTGCCAATTCTGTATTAGGATCATATGAGTGCGAAGAGGTGTTTATTTTCCTAATACTACACCTGTTACTTGTCGACAAACTTATGCAAAAGGTGTCGTGCCACTAGGAGAACATAATTTACGAAGAGGTCTTTTTCTAGCCCTGTCAGAATTATTTCAAAGCTTTCATTCGATATAAAAATTTGCCAATTCTGTATCAGGATCATATGAGTGCGAAGAAGTGTTTATTTTCCTAAATACTACACCTGTTACCTTTCGACAAAACTATGCAAAAGGTGTCGTGCTACTAGGAGAACATAATATACGAAGAGGTCTTTTTCTAGCTCTGTCAGAATTATTTCAAAGCTTTCATTCGATTTAAAAATTTTCCAATTCTGTATCAGGATCATATGAGTGCGAGGAGGTGTTTCTTTTCCTAATACTACACCTGTTACTTGTCGACAAACTTATGCAAAAGGTGTCGTGCTAATAGGAGAACATAATATACGAAGAGGTCTTTTTCTAGCTCTGTCAGAATTATTTCAAACTTTCATTCGATATAAAAATTTGCCAATTCTATATCAGGATCGTATGAGTGCGAAGAGGTTTTTATTTTCCTAATACTACACCTGTTACTTTTCGACAAACTTATG